TTATGGAATCGTCAATTTTTGAAATATACGGAGGCCGGAGTTGTGTAGGTCGTGAACGAACTAGTTCAAAAGATTGAATCTTGCAAGTGAACTAAAAGATTCGATTTCGATCACTACGATTGATTCCTCATGAACTAAACCTAAATGCGAGGTACAATTGTATGCAGATACGTATCAGCCTCCGGATTACAAACACTCGATGCGAATGGAATCCGTCATGACCGACATATGTTTACGAAGAATTAAGAAGCCTCTATTGCTTTCGATTCGTATCCAGTTTTCGTAATCCAATAAGGGCAGTTTCGGCGCGAGCGCGACGGACTCTTGGTTTTATTCAATGCTCATGGTGCACTTTTCAGTATCATCACCTTTAACTTTTGCTCTTTTGGTAGTTTGGTACGTGAACGGTGAAAATGACGATTGCGGAATGGATATAATTTATAAATGCATACTCGTATTGTCGTATATCGATTTGTTGATATACGAGTAATAGAATAAAATCGCTTACGCAAACGTAAGATTTTAAATAATCTGCCATCATTGAAGAAAAACACTATTCAATGCTGCCATGTTGTAATAAAAGTTGTAAGGTGTAGGTAGGTATGTGTACTTCGAAGACGACGTTGTTACGTCCATGCACGTAAGAAATGGATGATTTTATAACAGTACATCAGACATACGAAGAGATCGAGAGGCAACCCTTGCAACTGATCGATGAACTCGGCGTTGTCAAAATGTATGGAATACTCGTTTCCACCATCTCCTCCACTTGCTAAGATACTAATAGCTAGAGACACATTTCGGGATATACACACATCGTTGTGGCATCCGTCCGCACTATTGCACCAATCAGTAACGATAGCCAGGCTAAAGCCAGTCTACTAATACTTATCAATCAACGCTAATACGCAATAGCGTTGATTGATATGTATATTGCTGTGTGCCAGTGACGCAACCAAGGGGGGTGCTTTGGGGCTAAAGCACCCCCCAAAATTCTAAAGTGAATAAGTGCTTACGCATAGACAAGAAGTGGACAAATGAAATGAATGCGA